TACAAGAACAGTAATTTAAAGAAGTGACAAAACAGGCCTGTAATCCTAGCACTCTGGGAGGCTGAGGCAGGTGGATCGCTCAAGGTCAGAAGTTTGAAACCAGCCTGAGCAAGAGAGAGACCCTGTCTCTACTAAAAATAGAAATTGGGGCCGGGCGTGGTGGCTCACGCCTGTAATCCTAGCACTTTGGAGGCCGAGGTGGGCGATTGCTCAAGGTCAGGAGTTCAAAACCAGCCTGAGCGAACCCGTCTCTACAAAAAAGAAATAAATTAATTGACCAATAAATATATATATACAAAAACTTAGCCAGGCATGGTGGCGCATGCCTGTAGTCCCAGCTACTCGGAGGCTGAGGCAGTAGGATTGCTTGAGCCCAGGAGATTGAGGTTGCTGTGAGCTAGGCTGACGCCATGGCACTCACTCTAGCCTGGGCAACAAGTGAGACTCTGTCTCAAAAAAAAAAAAAAAAAAAAAGAAAGAAATTAATTGACCAACTAAAAATATATATATATAGAAAAAATTAGCTGGGCACAATGGCGCATGCCTGTATCCCAGCTACTTGGCAGGCTGAGATGGAAGGATTGCTGGAGCCCAGGAGTTTGCGGTTCTCCTTAAGTCTCCTTTCTATAGCCCTACAGATGCTCTGTACTAGAAATAGGCTCTCTGGCTTCCATATAATTGTGTCCCTTCCAAAATCCTGGCAAAATCACTTCAGTTGTGAATAGCAGAGAATGGATGGTATGTGTGGCATCTTCTGCTTGCCCCTCTAGATCCCTTTATTATGCTTTATGCCCCATGAAGCTGATCTCCCTGCAATGCACCAACAGACACTTTTATGTTCTGGCTTCTGTTTGGGTTTTCCCAGTATGAGGCATTGGCAGTAGATCAAATAGTAGGAGAGTTTTCCCCTGGTCCTTCCTTACTGGGTCCCTGTAGGTTGGTTGCATCCCTCTACTAGAGGCCACAGCTTTTATTGGATGGCCGCCTCTAGTTTCTGGTAGCTGCTCCTTCTCTTCAGCCTGGGTAACAGCATTGTTGTTACTCAGCCCCACGGTATTGCACCATCATTGTTGCTTTGTTCAAATCCTGCCACAGTGAGAGCTTTTTCCAGGGTTCCATAAACCCAAAAAGGATTGGGTTGGCTCCTCCTTTCCTCTACAAAGTCTGAGCTGGGGAGAAAGGATTCTTGGTATTCCTCACATACTCCTCTCAAGAGGCCCTGGGGGTAAAAGGACTCTGATTCTCCTCACCTTCCAGGTAGAGGCTGCTGGGAGATACTTACATAAGCTGAGTCAACATCAGAAGAATTTCCCTCACTGTCTGTCCTGTTCTAGGGAGAAAGAAGTAGAAAATTAGATGGGGAATGGAACAGCTCAGCTTCCTGTCTTTTTAGCAATACCACTTTCCTTAAAGCCCAATCTGACCTGCTTTCACCATTCCACAGGAAGCTGTTGCCTTCTGTCCTTCCACCCATGTCCTTTGCTCCATCAGTTCCCCACCTTTCTTTCCTTGGTTCTGTTTATCCTTTTGGCCTCAGGGCCCTATAGCTCAGCATCTCTGCTGCTCACCTGCGCCATAAGCTTCTGCAACTCTGATTCAATTTCCTCCAGGGCTTCAGTGGTCATGTGCATGAACCCTGCTCCCAGGAAAATACCAGCAGAAGTGCAGCCCAAGAGGCTGAGGACTTGGCGGTGTCGACCTAATAAAAAGCATAAGTTACAACCCAGTTGGCAATGAGGAGATAGACAAAGGTGAGTAAAGAGCAATGGGCAGCAACCATTATCCCAATCTTGGGGATGATGAGAGAATCAGAGCAAGGTATAAGGATAGGGTTGAGGTGAGACACAGGTTATGGAACAAAGATGGGGCAGGTCTATCTATACCTGTGGCTGCATCAATCCGGAACCATTTGAAGCGGATGGGAACAAGGCCGCTGCCTAAAGTGAGAGCCAGCAGAGCAAACAGGCAGCCAATTTTTACTCCTAGTAGTGGTTCCATCTCTGAGATGCAGGATAAGCAGAGGCCTCAGAATGACAAATGGAGTTAGAATCTTTGGAGCAGGAGTGGTGTCTAAGGTGGTCAAAGCTGGAGTATCCACTACCCTGAGTTTCAGGAGACTGCTGGTATGCTTTTTCTGTTCTGTTTTGCCTCCACTTGCGCAGCGCAGCATTGCATAGCTGACTGGGGTCCTGCCCCGGCTTCCCGGCTTCCCGCCCTCCTCTTACGTGGAGGCCCCTCCCCTGGCTCACACTTTCTTGAGCTTGGAAACCAGAAACTCCAGACTCCCTGCCAGACACAGCTCAGTTGCTGTCTTCTCTTCAAGGCCATGACTAATCTAAGGACTATGGAATAGTCTTAGTTCATGCCTGGGGTTGGTCTAATGCAAAATAGGAGTTTATGGTAGCTACTTCCCAGCAATTTTGTGCGGGGGGAGAATCTGGTCCTGCCTCACTCAGGACATTTGATCTAAGCCTTCTGTACCCTCTCCAGCCCACCCCAAATCTTATAGGTTGCAATGCTGACACCTGAACCATGCTCTTTCACAGAGCATTTGGGGCCACCTGGAGGTAAAGAGGTGGGGCTGAGAGGTGGTGTTGCTGCCACTCTGTGGGAACTAGTAGGAGAGGGGACTCCCCTTTAGTGTAATCCCAGAAAAATAGCTCCAGGCATGGAAATGCCTAGTAGGGAGCTGAGATTTCTATTACAACACTGATATTGTCACAACTTCTGACTGTGCTTGTTTCCTGATAAGAACTATGGGAGAGGCATTTTTAAGACAAAGAAAGTTGCTCTAGCCCTTTAAACAGCAGGGCATAGGGGAAATCAGAGATGAACCCGATAAATGAAAGGATCCTACCTGAATATATAGGGGTGGAGATGGGAGATTTGGTCCTGATGGGGATCAGCTCTCAATGGAAATGTATGGGGCAAACTCTATGGTAGCTGAGAGACCCTGGGAAAGATGGAAGGGAAGGAGACAGAAAAAAATAGAGGTGAGGCAGCTGCTGGTTCTCCTATTTAGGTGGCCCATATAACAATCCTGAGACCTGTTGAGCCAGTTCTGAGACAGCTGGGGCCAGCTTTCCCCACTATCCAATTATCTTCTTGGGGATGTCCCTGTCTCTGGTAGAAGCAGTATTCTTACAGGAGAGGGTGAGCTGGACATTTATGTGGAAAGCTTGGCACTGAAAATCTGAGGATTTCTTCTTTACAGGATAGGCCAGGACAACTGACACCCTAGACCTTTTAAGAATCACAAAATCCATTTCCATTCTTTAAACAATGTTTTAATATTATTAAAATCTCAAAAAAACACAGACATCTGGGGGTACCACCATTCCCATCCTGGATACCAGGTAGCTTCAGCCTTGGCAGGCTTGATAGAGGAAATACTTATTACACATCCTTGTCAGCTCTCAGGGGGATCTTGAGCAGGGGACGGAGGAACCTCGGACGGAGTGATCACGGGTAAAAGATCTCCCCAGGAGCTGGAACGGGCACAGCGATACAAATCCCTATAGAAAAGACATGTCAATGTGGGCTGCAGGTTCTTGCCACTGCACACTAATTCTGGTCACATCCCCTGTACCTGCCATGCCGGCGGGCTGTGATCACAGCATGCTGCATGTTCCCGTCTGGACAGCACAGGTGACAATGCACATGTCTAGGCCGTTTAAGGATAGGTTGAGTGATGTGGGGCCAGCGATTAGCGTCCTCTGGAGAACCACGAGCAAGGATCACCATAGAGAACTTTTCCTTCTTTGGTTTCTTATTCTAAGATAAGGATATAGAGACTGTTGAAAGGAAAAAAATATGGGAAAAAACTGTTTAACCCTTTCCCCCATTTCTGCAGTTCTTTTTCATACTGTATAAATCATGTACATGCAGGTTGTAAAGTCTCTAGTCTATTCTATGAATTCTCCAATTCCTCCCACCTCTGATTCTTTTCCCTCCTGCTTTCCTAAACTATTTTCTCCCTGCTGTAACATCCCTAGGGTACATACCCAGCTGAAGGGGATGGGATGATAAGCCTGGGAGAAGCTACAGGCCAGGAGCTTAGAGACTGTCAACTGGGGACAAGGAAGTTCATGGGGACACTGTGAACACAAAGACATGAGGTAAGACAAAGGAGTCATCCCTCATAAGATTTAAGAATTAAGAATGATAGTCAAGTGGGGCCAGAGAGAAGGGAGGACTGGAGCAGGAGGTAGGGAGAGCCAGGGGAATCATTAGGCAGGAACTGGACAAGAACACAAAGGAGTGGAGAGTGGCTCAGCTTTACCCTCTCACTTTTCCTGGTCACACCTGAGTTCAGATTTGTGTGCTGGGACAGGCAGAAGTAATACTGACTGGGGCAAAGAAAAAACCAGGTCGAGGGTCCAAAGTCAACTTCTCTTTTCCCTGAAATCAAAGAAATAAAGCTGAGTCTGAGGGGTATATTTTTATAACTCAATTGCTGCACTCATTAAACTGAGGACTCCTTTAATATTCAACTCTAATAATGATTAACTGTGTCCTTTGAGGTAATTGGCTGCATCATGCTCAACATGTGATTCTGAACTGGAATCTTTTGCTATAAAAGACACCACTGAGGCAAAACTTGAATGGGATCTGAGAATTAAATTGTAGTAATGTTCCAAAGTTCATTTCCTGATTTTGATGGCTGCTTGATGATTATGGTTAAGTAAGAGAATGTATTTGTTCATATAAAATATGAAAATACTAGTATATTGGAGGTGAGTGGGAGGTATCATATTTGTAATTTGGTTTATGTCTCAATTGGTTCAAGAGAAAGAAAGCTCTTGGAACTCTACTAGCAACTTTTATGTAAACTTAAATTTTTTTCAAAATAAAAAATATTATATTAAAAAAAATATCAGTGGGAAAGCCCCAGTTGAAGACTTCTAAATCTAAGAGGACTTGAGTTAAAATTTCAAATACAAGTAAGCTGAAAAATATTCAAAACCAGGAAATGTTCTGAGTTCTTTTACTCTCAACAATGGCTACCTTCCTAACTGATTAGACCAGATCTTGTGATGCTGTAACTCAGAGCTGCCTCCATAGGCTTGTCTTATTCATCATATTTGCAAAGGACTTGGATACAAGAAGCAAATTCTCATCATTGCAATAGATGACATCATGCTCAGACAGAGAGAGCAAATAATATGGATGATGGAATCAAGATCCAAAAAGTTCTTACCAGCCTAAAGCAGTGGATTACATCCAGTAAGATGAAATTTCACAAGTATGAATTTTTTGCCCTTGGGAACAGAAAACCAATTGTGTAAGTACAGGGCAGGAGCGGGGTAGTAACGAGTAGCTTATCAGCAGTACCCTTACTCACTCGACATTGAGTGCTTGCCCAGGGTGGGACTGTGCTAGGCACTGGGGATGCAGGAGTGAGACAGACAGAGTTCCTGCCTTCAGTGACTTTGTGATCTAGTGAGGAATATAAACAAGGAAACAGGAAATGATATTACATGAAACACTACTAGTGCTAAAAAGCACAAACAGGGAGCGCTTTACCCCACTTTGATGGAATTAGGAAATTTTTCCTATAGCAAGTCACAGCTAAGTGAGTATCCAAAGACAAGTAGGAGTTAAGTAGCTGAAGGAGCTCAGGGATTTTTTACCTCACAATATGACTCCTTGGTATAAAGAGTATTTAGAATTAAAGGCTCTTACAGATCAACAGGCATTGGAAGAGGGTTTTCCTCTGTCTGCATAAAATCAGAGGTATCTATCAAAAAGAACAATTGACTTTCTTGGTCTCCTCTGCTGTTATCTCAATATATTGCAGGAGAGAAGATGAAGAATGTAACCAGACCTGACCCAAGCCATTTTAAAGATCATATCTGTTTCTCAGGTTAATTTAATTTCCAAAGAGAAAGAATCATTTATAAGTCCATCTGTTTTCCCTCATCCATTATTCTCCTAAGTATCTATTCATCCTCCCTAGTAACCATTTATTGCCCCTCAACAGACTTCTCTATATTCTTCATCTCCCCCCCTTCTAAAATGAGGGTATATAAACTGCTGGACCTCACTGGGATATTGAGTAATACTCTTATTTGTACTGGGTAGATAAATTTGTAGTTTCATTCTCTTGTTAATCTGTTTTATTATGAGCTGACCTTTCAGTGAAATTTACAGAGGTGAAAGGGAAGTTTTCATTCTCCCTCACGTAGTGTTGAGGTTAAGAGCTTTCCAGGAAAAATTCAGTGGCATTTCAATGACCTGCAAATGAGGAGGTCATGGCTCACAGGGCCCCGAAAGCCCTGGAAGGCCTGTGTGGCTGGAGAAAGAGGCTACAGGAGTTGGAGAAGGGACCAAAGAAGGACCAGATCAAGAAGAGGGGTAAACTGGAATTTAATCCTGTGGATTAAAGGCTTTTATATAGGGTGTCATATTTATCATTTAAAAAGATAACTCAGGCAGTAACATAGGGAAAATTTAAGTGGGACCCTGCCTGGGAGCAGGGAGGTTACTAAGGAAGCAATTACGGCAAATAACCTAGGGCAAATAATGAGGGCCTAAAATACGCACTGGGAATGAAAAGCAGCAGACAGTTGCAAAAAAGGGAAAATCAACAAACCTGGTGATTGATTGTTTAGGGTAATGGGAAAAAGAATTACATTGTCCTATGTGGCAGTTTAAGTTTTCATTTAATACTCCCAATAACACTCAGAGAGAGATGCTGTTATTATGTCTACTTTATAGATGAGCAAACTTGGAAAAGGTAAATAACTTGTCAGAGTTCAGGCTAGAAAGTAATATATTTGATATTCAAACCCAGACAAATTAAAAGATAATGGACTAAGCACTTATTTTCACATATCAGGTATAAGGTATGAATCAGGAATAATAATTTTTAAAATATCAATTCCTATTTAACCTTTATGACTCTATCCTATTTTTCTGAGTTTAAATCTTTGTCTACAGATGTTCATAGATGTCCAAAAGTGTTGATATTTGAATCACATGTCATAGCAAAGGTGATAGTATTAATAAAGCAATTTCCAGGATCTTCCTTTGTTACTAACAGAATGTCCAACAGCCAAGGAGGTGCAGAAGTCCTGGTAAGTGATGACTCTAAGGATTCTGGCTTAGGTGATTCATTTACGAAGACAGGAGGAATACCCGGTATAATGGGAAAAACAAACTACAAGGCTTTTAAGATTACTTTCAAAGGAATGACAGACTGATTCCTGACTTCTCAAAAGAGACCGTGTAAACCAGAAAACAGTGATATTATGTTTAAGGTCCTGAAAGAAAATTACAGACAACTTAGTATTATGTAATCTGATAAAATGTCACCTTAAAACAAAGGTAAAATAAGACATATTCAGGGGGGTGGAGCAAGATGGCGGACGAGAAACACCGCCAGAGTGTCTCTGCAGAAAAGACAGATTCTAGCAGAAACTAGAAAAAGAAGCAAGAAGACGAGCATACACCGGACGAGGGCCAGAAGGAGGGGTATCTGAGACCCTGGGAGACTCCACGGGAGGAGGCTGCGGAGGAGAACTGGAGGCTGAGACCACGGGAGCAGCCCGGAGACCAGCAGCAAGGATGGGTGGATTTGCTGTTTCCCCTCCCCTGCATTTGGGACTGCTGGTGGGCTCCCCAGAGGGTGGAGAGACCTGCGGACACCAGCCCAGAGATGGCCGCCGCCAGCCAGCAGTGAGCCTGTAGCAGACGTGGCACCAGGTTCCCAACTTCCTCCGGGCACCTCCGTGTGCACGGACGAGCCCGCGGCGCGGCAGGCGCCATATTGCCTCCTCCTCCCCTCCGCCAACCCTACCCGCACCTGCCCAGAGAGACAATATAGCCACCAGCCAGAGGCACCTCCAGGGAACGGGACCTTCCCTTTTGGGACCCTACAGCTGACTCAGGGGAACTCAGACTATGAGCTCCCTACCTGCCAGCTCTCCAAGGTGCTACTGGCACAGTGTTCCCAGGAGAACGGTGCCGACTCAGAGGCTGAGAGACACAGACACAGCTTGGCTCTCCTGTGGGTGACTGGGACCCATCCTCTCCCTAGTGGGGATACAGTTTGAACTCTGGGGACCAGAGGTCGGACCTGCAGACCAGATCCCCTGACGCAGGGCTAGTATGGCCGCGGGACAGAAGGTATCAGTGAACAGCCTACTGAGGTGTGTGTGCCTCCAGGGGCAGATGAGCATCCTAAGGACAACCCTCCCACAAAGGGAGGCTGTGCGCCCGCCACGGTGGCGTTCTGTGCAGGAATCCCGCCGGCATCACATCCGGGGAGGCTGGTGCTTGTGGTCTGGCTGTGCAGAGCCCAGGATAGCCTGCGGAGTTGGGAGGGTGGAAGAAGATGGAGCCGCTCCAGCTTCGTCTCAGACAGCCCCACCCCACCCCAACTTTCTGCTGACGGGACCATTCCAGCCCGCCTGACAGCTTTCCTGGAAGCAGAGAAACAGAACTTTGACCCCTGCTAACTGCCTGAGGGCAGGCTACCCAACCCAGCTCCGCCCAGACAAGAGCTGATAACAAACACAAATCAACAGCATAGCCTGTTCCTCCAAGCAAACGCCACCTACTGAACAGGCGACGCATCTTGCACCAAGCCTTCCAACGGACCCACTGACTCAATATACAGGGAGTGGTCCAATCTTACCACAGACACCATCTAATGCCTCAGAAACTAAACAGGTGTGAATACACAAACATAACCTAAAGGAAAGAAAACACAACTGATCGACATGGGAAGAAATCAGCGAAGAACTCAGGAATATGAAGAACCAAACGGAAAACACACCCCAAAGAGAAGCACCAGCCCCTAGAAAGACAACCAACCAAATCAGGCAACCAATTGACAGAAAGAGGAATTTTCGTTGTGGATCATAAGAACACTCACCAAGCAACAACAACTCAATAACCAACACAAGAACCACAAAAAGCCTCCAGGATCTGGAAAAAAATAGACACAATGAAGAAAGTTAACCGAACTCCTGGAATGAAGAATCAATTCAGGGAACTACAAAATACAGTGAAAGTCTCAAGAACAGGGGTAGATCAAACAGAAGAAAGAATCAAGAGCTTGAAGATAAACCCTCCATAAATAAACATCACAGAGATAGAGCAGAGAACAAGAGAAAAGAAAAGTCTACAAGAGCTGTGGGATATG